TGTTGTCAAAAAAAATGTCAATAAAACGTGGGATTTCCTTAAACTATGTGTTTTGTATATAAATGGGATAATTTTAAGATTATATTTCTTCAAATATATTAAAATTCTATTGCTGTTTTTTATGATATGAGGTATATAGAAAAAGCTATTTTTAAAAGAAATTATTTGTCAAAAAAGCTGTAATAAATCAATTAAATGAACATTAAATGTTTATGAAAAGTAGTTGTTTTTGAATTTATGATTTAAATCATATATAAAATGTTAAAGAAATTTTTATGGAGGACCAGGTGTTTAGATTTATACCCTATAGTAGTGCCATAAACGTGTTTAAAAGTCATTAAACGTAACCGAATAAAAATGTTAAAATATTCTTATTAATTTCACTGTCAGTTTCTTTTTGAGTGGTTTAGCTTGGGGGCCATCCCACTACCCTCTGCATTACCTTGTAACATTGCTGTAACTAGGTTCTATTATATGCTAACAAAAGCTTTGAATTCATTTTAACTATAAAAGCTTTCATCTAGTTTAAGTGTAGTGAGGCATTATCTTTCATCGATGCTGAAACTAATACCAATAAAATTCATTCCTTGCAGCTTCAAAATTGAAAATCATGTTTGTTTTCTAAAGAAAGTTTTCTATTAGTTTTTAACTTAAAAAAGCTTTCTGTCTGATTAAGCGTGTAGCTTTACCTTTTGCATCGATGCTATAACTACTACCGAATTCCTATTATAGTAATCATAAGTTAAAGCTTTTGTTTAGCTTTAAATTGCAAATTATGATTGTTTGCTAATAAAAGCTTTAGCTCTTTTTTAACTGCAAAAGCTTATTTAAGTATTTAGCTTTAGTTAGAATTATTTTCCTGTAATATGCTTTAATGCAGAAATCTTGATCGAGTGATTCATGACAAATACTTTAGACCCCTGATCGGCAAAGAGCTTTGTTAAGAGCTTTCTTGAACTCTTGAAAAAACGATAAACTGCAGTTAGGGAACTTATTTTTTACTCTCTGCCGATGTAGGCTTTAGACGCATTTTTAACAGCAAAAGCTTTCTGCAGTTTCAGTCTGTAGCTTTACTCTCCGTACACTCTGATTTCCGTAACATTAAAACTTTTATTATATTCATATTTTGAAGTTTTTGTAAACTGTTTTAAAATGGAAATGATTATTTGCTAACAAAAGCTTTAGATAGGTTTTTAACTTCTAAAGCTTTCGGTCGCTCTAAGTCTACAGCGAGTAAAGCGCTTATTTCTGCATTAACTATTATCGATCAAACGCTTAAAATATATATTTAGGATTCATATTTTGAAACTTAATGATTGTTTATATACAAAAGCTTTAAATCAGTTTTAAAACTGTGAAAGCTTTCTAGTGGACTATGTGTAAAGCTTTAATAATTACTCTCTGTATTACAAATTTATTCTTTTTCGTGAGAAGGGTCTGTCATTTCGTTCATAATGTTCACAATATAGTTTTCCGATCCTATAAAGTATATATATTTTGGATCCTTATATTTAGATAGCGGGATCGATTAGGTATGTCCATTCGTTTGTCTGTCAGTCCGTCTATCTGTTGAAGTCATTTAAGACCACAGGCAACATCATATGTTTTTTGTTGGCTTATTTTATTAAACACAAATTTTAACTGAAATCAAGGATGGAAAAATGTATGAGTGAATTTTAATTTTTTTAATAAACATTTTAAAAAATATTAAATAGGGAGCTAGAAGGGTATAGAAGTTTCGTTTAAGCTGTACATAACATTTCTACTGATTTCATTTGTCAATTATTTTATTACACTTTTTTCAATTATCATACCAATTGTGTTTGTAGCAAAAAAAATCCATTAGCTTATCTTTGAACTTAATTGGCATTAAGACTACTTAAATACTACCAATATTTTTTTTATTTAGAAAGGTTCAATATGATAATATGTAGTAGCAAACCAATATGCAAACAAAGTAGGAATCGTAAATGGGGCAGAACAATTCATATTATAGAGATCTGGGTAAAACCTATTATTTGATATTTATTTTTAAACAAATCACGCAATTTGTTTTTATTTCGGGAACTTAGTTCAGTGGGAGAAATTCTTGTTATAGAAAACAATGTCAAACAAACAAGTGTTAAGTGCAGAGAAACTGTAGTGTGTCCCAAATTCGTCATTCTCATAGTGTTCTTTTTGTTTTGTTATTATAGTAATACTAATTGCTATTAGCTTGACAGAAGTTCTAGATATCAGGAACACTTCAAATCACCCACCTTTATTAAGAGCGTGTATGTAGTTATTTCTATTTTTGGTATTATTTAGTTTCTGTTTGTTTTTTTATTGAAAAATAATCAATTTTTTTAAACACGTTTTTAGTTTGTTTTTTTTTTTTATATAGAAATATTTTAGAAATAATTTTAGTGGTAGAAATCAATTTTGTATAACAGTTTTTTTTTATAGAACATTTAGTTTATAACAATATTTCACAGAATACTTTATATATAAAAGTTTTTTACTCCAGATTATTTTTGTATAACAGTTATTATTTCAACAAATTTTGCTGTTATTTTTAATGAAACTTTGGTGTATAAGACCCTTTCTGTATAACCGTTTTTTATAGAAAACTTTGTGAACAACATTTGGTTTATAACATTTTGTGTGTAAGAGATTTTTTAAAGATTTTTTGTATGACAGTTTTTTCTTTTAGAAAATTTTGAAGTTTTTTAATATATTAAAGTTTGTGTATAACTGTTTTCTATATAGAAAATTATGAGTATAGCCGTGTTTTCTCTAGGAAATTTTGTGTATAACAGTTTTTCCCATAGAAAAAATTATTCATAACAGTTTTCTCTATATAAAATTTTGTATAAAGCAATTTTCTTATTCAAAATTTTGTGTATAACAGTTTTCTCTATATTTAATTTAGCTTTTTATACAATTTTCTCAAAATTGTATAACAGCTTTTTCTATTAACATTTGGTGTATAACAGTTTTTCCTTGAAATTTTAAGTTTTATCAAAGAAAATTTTGTGTATAACAGTTTTCCCTATTTTCTCTCTTTTCTCTGTAATTAATTTTGCGTATAACTATTTCTTCTATAGTTTTCTCAAAGAAAATTTTGTGTATAACAGTTTTCTCTATTAACAATTTTTGTTTTTTCCTGTATAACTGTTTTCACCATAGAAAATTTTGTGTATAACAGTTTTATCCATAGAAAATTTTGTGTATAACAGTTTTCTTTATAAAAAATTGTGTATAACAGTTTTCTCTGTAATTAATTTTGCGTATAACTCTTTTTTCTATAGTTTTCTCAAAGAAAATTTTGTGTATAACAGTTTTCTCTATAAACAATTTTGTATAAAGCAATTTTCCCCTATTCAATATATTGTGTATAACAGTTTTACCTATTATTAGTTTTGCGTATAACAGCTTTTTCTATAGTTTTCTCAAAGAAAATTTGTGTATACTAGTTTTTTCTATTAACAATTTTGAGTATAACAGTTTTTCCTTGAACATTTTGTGTTTCCTTTAGGAAAATTAGTTTATATAACTGTATTTCCTATATAGAATTTTGTGTATAACAGTTTTCTCTATAGACATTTTTGTATATAGCTGTTTTCTCTATTCAATATATTGTTAATTAATTAATTCTGCGTATAACAGTTTTTTCTAAAGTTTTCTCAAAGAAAATTTTGTGTATAACAGTTTTTTCTATTAACAATTTGGTGTATAACAGTTTTATTTTTGAAAATATTGAGTTTTCTTTAGGAAATTTTGTGTATAACTGTTTTTACCATAGAAAATTTTGTGTATAACAGTTATCTTTATAAAAAATGGGGTATATAGCAGTTTTCTCTATTCAAGATTTGTGTATAACAGTTTTTCTCTATAATTAATTTTGCGTAAAACTATTTTCTATAAGTTTCTCAAAGAAAATTTTTTGTATAATAGTTTTCTCTATAGAAAATTTTGTACCTAACAGTTTTCTCTATAGAAAATTTTGTATATAACAGTTATCTCTGTTGACAATTTTTGTATAACAGTTTTTATCCTTGAAAATTTGGTGTATAACAGTTTAGTCTATAATTAATTTTGCGTATAACTATTTTCTATACAAAATTTAATGCATAAGTCTTTTCACTATAGAAAATTTTGTATATATCAGTTTCATCAACAGAACATTTTATGTATAACAGCTTTCTGTTTTTACTATATAAAAGTGGCGAATTTATTAACATTCTTATCTGTTAAGATTTTATTTATAACAGTTTCTTCTATAGAGAACATACATATTTTTCTAGAGAAAAATTTCTTGTATAACAGTTTTATATATATAAAGAGAGATTCTTTATAAAGATTTTTCTATAGAATTTTTTTCTATAACAGATTTTATTGTGTATAATATTTTTTCTAAATGAAATTCATTGATAGTTTTGCGTATAACAGTTTTCTTTCATATCGAACATATTGTAAAATTCTTGCAAAACAGTTTAAAACCGTGAAAAATTCTGTGTATAACAGTTTTTTCTAAAACGTATTTGCTTTTTTAATTATAAAACTATTTCTTTCAATTTATTCTCTAATTTACAATTTACGTTGTTGTATTATTTTTATCATTAGTTGTGTGGTATCGATTTTCAATAGTTAATTTTACGTTAATTTTTTGTTAACAAGCCATTCAATCATTTTATATCTCAAACGTGTATATGTTTATACATTTTCGTTTTTTTTTTTGTTTCTTCTCAACAGCATTTATAAATAAATAGTTATAAGTATATGTATATGAATACGGTAATAGAAAAAATAAAATAATAATAAATAGTAGTTAAAAAAAAAAAAATTGTTAAAAAACACTCGTAAATTGTTATTAACAACAAAAAAAAAAACTTTAATTACATTGATTAGCCATAAAAAAGTAAATTTATGCGGTCTTAAACAAAAATAAATAATTTTTAGTACTATATGAATATTTTTTAAAAATTAATAATTTCATTTTATTTTTTTCTTTCTTTTAGATGTCAGATTTTTCGGATAGTTCACAGAGCGGTGTCATTAGTCCGGCTACATCGTTTATTGAAAATTTCCATAAGAAAAATGGTACAGCTGCCTCATCGGCCAATAGTTCACCCAGTATTAGTACAATGGGGTCAACATCACCGGCCATTAATGGTGGCAGTGGTGTTGGCGGTGGCGGTGGTGGGGTAGTTATAGGCAACAACAATAGCAGTATGGTTATACCAACAACAGGGAATTCATTGGCCAGTACATCAACAATGGGTCGTCAAATAAATACTAGTTCTAGTTCAAGCAGTAGTGTTAAGGAAACATCATCACAACAGGTGAGTGAAAATGAATCAACGAAAAGTTTTTTTATTTAATATTGCCTCTATAATGTGTAGAGTATAACAGTTCTTTTTTGAAGAAAATTGTGTGGCAGAACAGTTTTTTTTTTTGTAGAAACTTATGGAAAAAGACTTTTAATATAACAGTGGTTTCACTAAGGAATATTTTGTCTACATACAGTTGTTTTCCATAGAAAATTGTTTGTATAACAGTTTTCTACAGATAATAGTATATACAAGAGTTTTTCTTTAGAAAATTTTTGTATAACAGTTTTTTTCTAAAAAAGTTATATCTATAATAGTTTTTTATAGAAAGTTTTTAAATATAACAGTTTTGTGTATAAAAGTTTTTTGGTAAAATTTTCGGTGTATTACAGTTTTCTCGGTTAGAAAAATTTAGTTATAATAGTTTTCCTCGATTGAAAATTTAGCGTATAACTGTTTTTTCATTAAAAAATATTTTGTATACAAGTTTTTTTTAATAGAAAATTGTATCCATAACAGTTTTTTTCGTAGAATATATGGATATAATAGTTTTCTCTGTAAAATTTCATGTATAACAGTTCTGTCTATTAAAATTTTTATATAACAGATTTCTCAATCAAAAATTGTTGTATGTAACAGTCTTTTCTATAAGTAATTTTGTGTATAACAGTTTTCTTTATAGAAAATTTTGTGTTTAATAAATTTTTCCTATAGAAAATTGTGTTTATAACAGTTTCGGTTATAAACACATTGTATGTGCAACAGTTTTCTCTATAGAAAATTTTATGTATAACATTTTCTCTATAGAAATTTTATGTATAACAATTTTCTCTATAGAAAATTTTATGTATAACAATTTTCTCTATATGAAATTTTGTGTATACAGTTTGTCTCTACAAAAATTGTGTGCATAAAAATTTTCTCTATAGATAATTTGTTTATAACAGTTTTATCTATAGAAAATTTTATGTAAAACAATTTTCTCTATGGAAAATTTTTTGTATAACAGATTTTCTATAGAAAATTTTGTATATAATAGCTTTTTCCATAGAACATTATAAAAAATGTTTGTATAACTGTTTTGGAAAATTATGTGTATACTTGTTTGTTTCTAGAAAATATTGTGTATAACAGTTTTTTTCTCTAGAAAATACTGTGTTCAACATTTATCACTATATAAAATTTTGCGTATAACAGTTTTTCTATACGAACTGGTGTGTAGTTGCTGTATAACTGTTTTTTGGTATAAAAATCTTTGTGTATAATGGTTTTTTCTATTGAAAATTTGTGTGTATAACGGTTTTCTCTATAGAAAATTTTACGTGTAACAGTTTTTCACATAGAAAATATGTGTATAAAAGTTTTTCTATAGAAAATGTTGAGTGAAGTAGATTTAAAGATAATTTATTATGTGTAAAACTTTGTGTATAACAGTTTTTTCTATATAACATTTTATGTATAATAGTTTTCTCGACAGAAAATATGTATTCCTCTATAAATAATTCTGTGTATAACAGTTTTTCTTTATATAAATTGATCTTATAACAGTTTTCTCCATAGAATATTTTGTGTATAACAGTTTTCTGTATACATAATTTGTATATAATAGTTTTCTATATATAAAATTGTTTATATAACAGTTTTCTTTAAGAACATTCTGTGTAGAACAGTTTCTTACAGATAACTATGTGCACAACAGTTTCTTTTATAGAAAATTTGGTGTATAACAGTTTTCTTTATAGTTAAAGTTATAGTTATAGACAGAAAATATTATTTCTCTATAGATAATTTTGTGTATAACAGTTTTTATATAAATTTGATCTTATAACAGTTTTCTACAATAGAATATTTTGTGTATGACAGTTTTCTCTATAGATAATTTTGTATATAATTGTTTGTATAACAGTTTTATTTAAAGAACATTTGTGTATAACAGTTTTTTCTATAGATAATTTTGTATATATTGTTTTCTATATCGAAAATTGTTTGTATAACAGTTTGTCTTTAAAGAACATTTTATGTATAACAGTTTTCATTATAGATAACTTTGTGCACAAAAGTTTTCTTATAGAAAATTTGATGTATAAACAGTTTCTCGACAGAAATATGTATTTCTCTATAGATTATTTTGTGTATAACAGTTTTTTATATAGAATTGATCTTATAACTTTTATCCATAAAATGTTTTGTGTATAACAGTTTCTTCTATAGATAATTTTATATATAATAGTTTTCTACATAGAAAATTGTTTGGATAACAGATTTATTTAAAGATAATTTTTTTGTATAACAGTTTTTTCTATAGATAAATTTGTATATAATAGTTTTCTATATAGAAAATTGTTTTTACAACAGTTTTCTTTAGGGAACATTTTGTGTATAACAGTTTTCTTTATAGGTAACTATATGCACAACAGTTTTCTTATAGAAAATTTGGTGTATGACAGTTTTCTTTATAGTTTTCTCAAAAGAAAATATTTATTTCTCTATAGATAGTTTTGTGTATAACAGTTTTTTATATAAATTTGATCTTATAACAGTTTTCTCCATAGAATATTTTGTGTATAACAGTTTTATTAATAGATAACTTTGAGCACAACAGTTTTCTTATAGAAAATTTGGTGTATAACAGTTTTCTTTATAGACCAGTTTTTTTGTATAACAGTTTTTTCTATAGATTATTTTGTATATAATAGTTTTCTGTATCGAAAATTGTTTGTATAAGAGTTTTCTTTAGAGAACATAACAGTGCAAAACAGTTTTCTTATAGAAAATTTGGTGTATAACAGTTTTCTTTATAGTTTTCTCGTCAGAAAATATGTATTTCTCTATAGATAGCACAACAACTTTGAGCACAACAGTTTTCTTTTAGAATATTTGGTGTATAACAGTTTTCTTTATAGAAATTTTTATTTTTAACAGTTTTCTCTAGAGAAAATTTTATGTATAACAGATTCTTCTGGAGAAAATTTAGCCTAAAACTGTTATTTCTATAGAAAATTTTGTGTATAACAGTTTTACGGATAAACATTTTATGTATAACAATTATTCTTACAGAACAAACAGAGTATAATAGTTTTTGTTTTGAAAAAATTTCTATATAACAGTTTTTAATAGAAATATCTTGACTTGAAAGTAAAAACGCAGCTACTTATCCATCCCTGCTACACACTTTAATATTTAAATGTTTGTATGTGTTAACTCAAGTATAAAATTTAACCTCATTTTATTTTGCACAGCCCTAAAATAGGCTATAGATTTTATTTGCATAAATAAGCAAAACAATATTTGCTCACATTTGAGTGTGTGTGTGTGTTTTTTCGCTTATTATTTATGGTTGTTTTGAGGCGTATGAGTAATTATTAGTTTGAAATGAGTTGTTGAAATGAAATATATTACTCATACGCTCTTTTTAGGTAAATTGAGTGGGTTTAATTGTTGTGATATATTCTATTTATTTTAGGAAATTTACGGTAGTAATTGATGAGAAATATTAGTTAAATTGCCTAAATTAGTTAAATGAATTTTAATTTGTGATGAATTTATTATTTAGAATAGAAAATTCAAAAAAGATATCAATAAAAATGATGATTAAGTCTTAACAAAAATTTCTAGATAAAAATGAATTTCTTTATCAAAAAATTCTAAAGAAATATTTTAATTTTATTAAATGCAATTAAGATTATTACAATATTTATCTTTGTTTTAAGAATTTAATTACTGACCAAATAGCAAGTGGATTTCTGGGGAATTTCTAGTTTATACATTTGTATTCTTTATTATATTGATAAAAATTCTTTTCAAAGTTTTAATCTTGAAAACATTTGTTTAAATGTGACAGTTAAAAAAAGATATTTCAAAAATGTCTAAATTAAATAAAATAAAAGTTTTATTTAATTATTAAATTCTATTCTAAATAAAAAAAAATATGAGTAACTAGACATTTGGTGGAATAAAATGTGGGACATTTTTTTGCACAAATTATCTAAAACAAAGTGTGCGGTAATATTTAAAAATAATGAAGAGCTACTGCAAATTTAAAGGTAAACTGTTATAAAACTTAAAACAATAGAGTATTTTTTAATAGTTTCGTTAACATTAGTGTAGTGTTTAAATGTTCACAATTCTTCTCAAAGTCTTGTCAAAGTTCTTGTTAATTAAATAGTCACGTGACTTGCTATTTGTCCTCATGAGTTATACCAACCATATTGTAAGTAATAGCTCCTTAACAAATTCGTTTTCTACCTCTCTACCAATTTGTGTTTGTTTAAATTTAATTTTCTCTAATAAACTTATCAATTGTTTTAATTATCGTCTTATAAATATTTTTTTATATTTGTTTGTTTTCTTTTAAACTGTGTAATAATTATTTTTAAACAATTATTTAATCATTAAATAGTTGTATTTCATTTGATTTCTTTATAGAACTTTGCTAATTCACTTGCATTTACTCATTTATTAAACGTTTCATTAGATTAGAAGAGGGCTTATCG